GCTTTCAAGCATTTTCTGCATCAGGTGCTTCAATTTAAGTCATTTTCTTAATTTATTATACGGTTTAAACGCGTAACTGCCGTTTGACTTGCAAAACTTTTTTTATTCAACAATTCCAATTTGAAGTTGATTAGTACCAAATTTAAATTGTTTATTTCCAATTTGACTTTGTTTATTCCCATTTTGAACGTGTTAGTTACCAATTAAAAGTTGATTAATCCCAATTTGAAATTGCTACGTTCCAAATTGAAATTGATTATTCCCAATTTGAAGTTGAAAAGGTATAGACAATTTCCAAAATATTAAAAACGAATTTTTCAGTTTAGATGAGAAACGATTTAAATTGCTAACACGAAAGGGGGTATTCCTTTACGATTATACAGGGTGGAATTTTTAAATGGAATAAATTCAGTATCAGCAATCCTGTTTATATAAAAAAAAGGAATATGACCCATTATTTACTTTTGCATTTCGGTGATCTAGTTATGTATTTATTTTTGACATTAACACACTATTCTAGGGTTGAGAATCCGAGTATCAGGCATCAAATAGTGTGTTAACGTCAAAAATAATTACATAACGTTACAAATGGGGCTTGTTTCGCATTAGGGTTATACCAAGAAGAAATGCTGAAGATATTCAACAATTTTAATTGTAAAAATTTGTGTGAAAAAATATGTTTCTATTTTTTTCTCGCTTTCCAGATCACCGAAATGCAAAAGTAAATAATGGGTCCTTTTCCTTTTTTCATGCCTATTCCAACGAGCTATCACAATAATATCTTTACATTTGAAAAAAAAAAGTTGATGGTGGTTTCTACCCTTGAGAGAGGGGTAAATTCCATGAAAAGACCGAAAAAATGTACCAAACTAAAAATACAGGGACCCTTTTTTTTTATTTTTCCAGAAAATAAACAGGCTTTCTGATACTGAATTGTTTCCATTTAAAAATTCCACCCTGTATAGACAACATGGAAAGGCTAGAAGAAACTAAACTACCTAATAAAGAACACTTTCACAATCAACTTAGTGCTAAAGACATAGAAGTGGCTGATTATGGATATGCAAAACTTGCATGAAATAAATTTAATATTACAACTTTGGGTGATTAAAGCGACACTCTTCCTGGTTATACTTGGGATTGCATGCTGAAGTATACCAGGTGTAAGCTAGAAACCATTCAACGTGTAGATCTTTTATTGTTTATAGAGCGTGGTGTCAAAGGAGGTTTATGTCAATAAATATATGAAAGAATATTACTCTAATAGACTATCCACGAATATCTTATATTCTGACGTCAATAACTTATATGGATGGGCAATGAGTCATTATTTACCGTATGGATTCTTCAAGTGGGTCGATTGCAACAGAGATGTCACCACTGTACCTGACAATGCCGATATCGGCTATATCCTAGAGATTGATCTTGAGTACCCCGCAGCATTACATGATTTACATAACGATTTACCTTTCTGTCCAGAACATCGAAAACCACCAAATTCTAGATTTTCAAAATTGATAAACACCTGGTATTTCAAACAAAATTACATATTTCACTACAGAAATCTTAAACAAGCCTTACAACATGATTTGAGAGTGACGCGTATTCATAAAGTCTTAAATTCAAACAGTCTCAATCGCTGAAATCTTAAATCGAATTAAACACATCATTAAGGGCTCAAACAGTGACAGAATTTGAAAAAATGTTATTTAAACTAATGATAGTAATGATTAATGCAGTTTTTGGGAAAACAATGCAAAACTTTAGAAAAAAACGAATAGTAAAACTTGTGAATAAATGGGAGGGAAGATATGGGGCAAAGAATCTGATTTCGAATCCAAATTTCAAAAACAGGTCTTCCGGTTGAAAAATGTAAACTTTTATATACTGTTAGTCTGATTTACGACCTACAGTGTGATGACGTGTATGAAGAGGTAATTCAAAAATATATTCATCGTTTCGATACCGGCGATTACCCCCTGGAAAACAGGTGGAATATTCATCAAGTCAATAAAAAAATTTCAGGTTTAATGAAGGATGAGAACATTTTATTGGAAAAACATTTTTTTCTGTGATTGACAAGAAATGTCAGCATTTTTGACCGGTTGACAGGTCGTAAAACCCAATATTCTGGTATTTTAATTATGCTTCGATAGTTGCTAAGGAATCAATGAATAACAATACGGGAATGACTTTTCCGGCCTAGGCCGCGAAAGTGATTCTCGTACTGCTGAACAATTGGAACAAAAAGACAAACATTTAACAGATATTTAATTGATCGCAGAAAAAATAGTATGTGTATTTCGGTGGAAAAGCACATTCTCGGCATTCGGTCTTTGCCGGCCTCGGCTACGCCTACACCGTCGGCTGAGAATGTGTCACTTTTCCACCTAAATACCCAATATACTATATTAAAATCAATTTCCATTTTTTCATATTTTGAAAAATTGAAACATTAATCCAACATTTGAAATTATTAGACTTTTTATTTGAATACATTTACTTTCGTTTCAGCTTAAATTAGATTTCAACGCGCGGAAAAAGCGTTTATAAAAATTTGCTTCCAAAATTGCTTTCAAGGTAATGAACCGCTCCAAGCTCTGGAAAATACCATCATAAGCACAATAAATGATTTTCTTTTACACCTCCACAATGGCAAAATTAAGCTTTTATCTCCGCAGACTTTTTTTTAAACGAAACTTCATTATCCGCCGTACATTTTGCATGCGTTGCCTCATCTGAAATTTGTATATGTTTTTTCCAAGCCCACTTTCTTCCACCACACGATGACAATATGATTGAGGGGACGATAAGGGCGTGTCGTATACACTCGGAATTTACGATGTCAGATAAAGACAAGTTACGTGTGTAAAGGCTATTTATAATCATTTACCACGTTCTCTTTTAGTGCGATTAAAATCTGTTAGATGCCAGATTTACTTTTTCTTCCAAATCTGGTGGTGGGTAGAAAATGATACAGCTTTTCGTAGCTTTTCATTCTTCCTAACCTCCTCAAATTCTCACACCCTCAAAGACATAAAAAAACACGCTTTATCCCAACTAATAGTTACTGAAAAACGTTCATTATGCAGTAAGAGTGCCACCACTAAATTGCCAGTATCATGATCAGACAAAGATATTTTGTGACTGACTCAATAAGAGAATGTGTAAGGGCTTACGAAATTTTCGGATTAGGTACCGAACTCGAAATGATATCAAAGGGTAAACTTCTTAGTCCATTCATCATTCAGTACCTATTACTAACTGAGTAACTGATATCAGGTATCACTACACTAAAAAAATTCATATGTCAACTTGTTAAAACTAAGTTATGATAACGTATTTATTCATCGTGCGAAAGGTGAATTTTACATCGCTTTTTTGTAAATTTAAGTTCAAGAATTCAATTATCCCGGAAGGTTGAAAATGAAATATGGTTACCTACTTAAAAATTAATTGGAGACACACCTTCGCTCTCAATTTTCAATCAGGAACTTATCCCCGGCGTGCATCTTCAAACTTTTAATAACTCCTTCGTAAACTTAGACATTCATCATTCCTGATCCGCTTCCTGGGGAAAAATAAAAATGCCGCTTTGAAAAATAGGACTTGAAAGAAAATTAATTAACTCCTTAAAAGAAACCGAGAGGCCAAAATTAGAGACCCTCAGTTATTACCAATATCCAAAACGAATCGATTTCCACTCTATATATGCGATAAAATCGGTGACTCTATATGAGTCAGAAAGAACGAAAACTTGTCGATATGCACCATTAATCTTGCTCTAGGGCGACAGTTTGATACCACTTTATGATGCGACTGTTCTCTCCCCTCACCCTATTTGAGAATAGTTAAATCCTTGACACAAACTCCAAAGAGAAGTCTAATTATATTATTTTGCAGAACTTAATAGAAGATGAAAGTAGACTAAGCATTCAAATGACAAGATAATTCTGCTTTGTGCCGTGGTTTATTTTAAAGTTTTTTTCAAATTGTAATCAAAAATTTTGCTTGCGGTTTCTGAAAATTCAATTAACTAGCGAATACTACCTACTTCTCGATTCAGCTCTGCAGAAAATTGAATTGACGCCTACAAATTTTGTTCGGCGTTGAAATCTCGTCTAAATTAAAATTTGTGTTTTAATTATCTTTTTTTTTTACTAGTGAATGCTATTAGGGATAATTTAAGGCAACGTTAATTGCTGAAATGCTTGACTGTGATATTATGAACTCTTCAAATTTTTTATTCACTACTTATAGTCCAGGAGGTGGCGCCAAAAACATGCAAGAGTTTTCGCAAGGCGGATATTTTCAAAATAGGTCGTACTTTAGTGCTAGAATGCTAGTGTACAGTCAGCACTCACAGTTCCGGGACAGCTGGCTCTGGGACGCGGGCAAAGTTGTAATTTTAAGAAGCATCTAAACTGTTTTCTCAAAGCTCAAAATTTATAGAAATTTTGCACATTATCTGTTTGAAGGTCACAGATAACGTATGTAAATCGTCAGACGTCTAGTTCGTTGCAAAAAGGGGGTCAGACGTCCTCAAAGTTCTTATTTTATGGCATTTTCTTCGGTGTCCTGTCAAAATATATTTTTGCAGGTATTTGACAAATATATTTGAAGAAAATGCCATAAAATAAGAACTTTGAGGACGTCTGACCCCCTTTTTGCAACGAACTAGACGTCTGACGATTTACATACGTTATCTGTGACCTTCAAACAGATAATGTGCAAAATTTCTATAAATTTCGAGCTTTGAGAAAACAGTTTAGATGCTTCTTAAAATTACAACTTTGCCCGCGTCCCAGAGCCAGCTGTCCCGGAACTGTGACTGCTGACTGTACACTAGCATTCTAGCACTAAAGTACGACCTATTTTGAAAATATCCGCCTTGCGAAAACTCTTGCATGTTTTTGACGCCAGCTCCCCAACTATTAAATGATTTCTCAATTTTATTAGGTATTTAAATTAAATAGTACTGAAATCCTTTTTTTTTTCAGGAAGTGTATTGTGGCATAGAAACAATTTGTACAGTCGATGGGCTTCATTTTCACTGTATGTACAATGCAAGAGTCAAAGCCTTCAACAGCTCAGGAGAAGGCGACTATAGTGAACTGATAGGATTGCAGACAGCTGAAGTTGCCTGGTTCACTTTCGATCCGATTCTGTCAGGGCCTGGACTACAATATTTGGAGGATAACGCCACAGTTACTGGAGAAGGCTGGGAGCACAGGGTAGCATTAGGCAGTGTGGGTTTTAGTAGAGGCGTGCACTATTGGGAATTTACCATAGATAAATACGACGCAGACACCGATCCGGCTTTTGGAATTGCTAGGATAGATGTTACTAGAGATAAAATGTTAGGTAAGAAAGACTTTCATTTTACTACTAGTTCAAATTAATCCTTATCTTATTGAGCAATTATTGTATATGCGATTTGCAGGAGGTAAATCGCATGATTATCTTTTTTTTAAAGTAACAACTTTTATTGAACAAATCGACTTTATAGAAATGTAGTTATCTCTTATCCCTTCTATCAAACCTCGCATAACAAATCTCGTATTTAAACGTGTTTAAACTGAGTACACAATCTTATCCAAACTGACTACTGCGTGCTATTTATAGAGGACATTGTAGGTATTCGGTACTTTTCTAGAAGAATGTGTGTTAGCAATACACTTTTATTAATTAAACTACAGACAATATTTTATATTGAGACTAGCTGAACCGGCGAACTTCGTACCGCCTATGAATTATTAAATGTTGTGTTAACGTATCTAGTAGATGAATTTAATTCAGTTTTTTTCAATGGTGAATTTGGCCTTGGTTGAAGAAAACTAATGTTTACTCTCTGGATCAGAAATCACCTAAAATTAAAATTTTACATCATTGGCTATTGATTTCAAATAGGGTACCTCGCTTGGATCATAATCGCTCTCGGAGCACTTCCGCAGAGATCTGTGACGTCACCGCCCAAATAGAGAACGCTCTGGGAGCAGTAAAGTCGAAAATGCTATAAGATAATACTGTTACGTCGGTTGAATGGAATAAACAAAAATAAGTTGAGTTATGTAGTGGTGAGAAGCAAGAAAAAATTTAAAAAATTTGGGGTGGACCGCACTCTTATCACTTAGGGGTATAAAAATTAGCTTAAAACCTATTCTCAGACCTACCGAATATACATATAAAATTTCATAAAAATCGGTAAAGCCGTTTCGGAGGACGAAGGTAACTAAAACCACAGATTACCTAATACAGTTGCTGAATCCGAATCTGAGGTTTGCCAAAACGCTAAGCATCGGCTTCACAACGAAAATTGCAAAAAACACTAAATTTTCGGCACACAGAACTCGAAAACTAAGCGTGTTTTAATTATAACTAGGATATACCAAATTAAAGTAGACAAAATTTCCTACCAGTAGGTATAATTACTCTAGTCTAAAGTCTCGACAATCCATAAAGTCGTTGGATCAGATCGTGTTGGAAAAATGACAGTTCTTGCCTAGAATCCATGTCGTTTATGTTCATTATGGACAAAATTTGTCAATACCTGCATGAGGCTACAGTGATAAATACTAGATCAGGATAATTATTTCTTATAATAGTATAAATTACCTTCGATCTTCTCAGGCGAAACGTCTTGATCGTCATCATCACTGAGTATTTCTATATTGGAGCAGCTTCTTTCACAAATCGAACAAAGTCTGGAGCAGTGTAACCCAATTCTTCTGCATCCGCAACTGCCCTTACAGCCTTTCTGGCATTTACAGGCATTAAGTTTCAGAAGCTTCTCTGGGGCTGGGGGCTCAAGGGTCGTCATGGAAATCAAGTTGTCTTCAATAATTTTCCATCCCCACTGCTCAGGTGGTTGAATATTTCCCAGCCACTGCTGTACTTGGTGAAACACCCTGTTACTGTGTCGCTGGGCTACAGCTTTAGTAGGGGGGATGGATGCTACATTTCCGCTAACCTTGAATGCTGATGACACATACTGTTTGTACCGCAGCTTATTTATTGAAGTGGTACGATGGTCTCCGCCATACAAGGCCACTAGAAATTTTTCCCCTGCCTCCAAAATTTCTTCTGATGTGGCAAAGGGGTTTCTGAAACGTCGGATGTAGACTGAGAGATCAGGATACCTGCTTGTAAGGGTTTTTATAAGCTTGGCTTTCCCTTGTTCAAAAAGAGCAGATGTGGAGTCACAATCACTGACAGCATGTATATGTTCTGTCAGGAGTTTCTCGACGGCGCTTGGAGGGTGGTAAACAGATGGAAGATTTTTGCGTTTGCCTGGTTTCAGAAAATATACATTGGGAGACGTCATGGTTTCAATCATAATGACCAGGAGATCTATATCCTCTCCAACAACTACAACAGTTTCGTGGTCTGCAGCAAGGGATTGGGCTGTTTGCACATTCAGAGTGACTGCATCTTCACTTGCTTGCTTAGTGTCAATTTGGGCTGCACTGAATTTCTGTGGAAGTACGCTAATGAATCTGCATTTTTTGTTGGTATTAGACAGACATTTATCCCGAGGGATTGTGGGCACCATTTTGTCATTGACTTGGATATCAACTGACTGCGTCTTGGATCATCTAAAGCGCTCCATTCGTCTAGTTCCTTTCTGTGCATCTGAGTAACAGTCGAAGACTAATGCTGCAGTTGCCGTTTATTTTTTATTTTTTCAAATATTCAACGTAGCTGTCATAAATTTGACCAAGTGTCTTCTTTTCAGGCCACACAACTTCGTGCAGGAGAAAACCACCGTCAACCACGTATCGTGGAAAGTTGTCCAATATAGATGTGTCAGGTTCTGCTTGTAAAGCCTTGCACAGTGATGATTTTGTCCCTTATCCCATTAGACCACTTTTTTTTTCATCAAATAGAGCAAGTGGAACGGGGCTCAGTTCGTGTGTCAAGAATTCCTCGAGTTCATCGTCTGACTCTTTAACAATATTCATGCGTTGAAATAGTGTAGTTAATTGGATTAACAACTACAGATTGATCATGAACCATTATTGAAGATTTCATGGTGGCAAGTGCTCCCACGAATGACATTAATTAATGAAATACATCAATCTGTATCACATGTTGCAGTTCAGGGTCTCCCTCACGACTTGCAATTACCTCCCTTGCCTTCAGGTACAGTGGTTGATCGAATGTGACGAAAGTGGTTTATTGGTTTAATGATGTTGATGATTCAACACTACTCAGTAAAGCAGTGTAGACTGTGTTATTGGGATTTCAAATTAAGATTGTAGCGCCGCGGTGGCGAATAGCTCAACTACTTTCTAGTACATTGATTCATAACCTCACTTTTATTTTTAACTTAATTTGCATATGATTTACATTAGCTTGAATGTTTGTCTTGTGTTTATGGGCTTTATGGCTCCTGATGCAGGCCAAAATTCAATATAATCTATTGCGCTTACCTGACCCGAAATGGTCATATCCATACAACAGCCTAAACGGATCTTTTTTTTAAAATTTTCCACTATAGGACATTGCCAAAAGGGTCAAGGCAGATGTCCCTTATAATGTCTGTATTTGAATAACTTGTATGTGCAATGTGCAATAAATAAATAAATATTTCATAAATAACTCTTCATTTTTATTTATAAATAGGTAAATATTGAATTAACACAGTCAAATAGCTTGACCACAAACCTGCCTATAATACTGGTAATTAGAATTTAATAAAAACTTGACACTTTCTGCTGTTTGCTCGTCCATTTGTATGTTTGTCTCAAAAGAGTTTAATAATTGAATACAAGTATCACTACATTCATTACTTGAACCGTTCTCACTAGAATCTTGATTTCTTTTTCTTTTGGCAGGTCTTTCAGCACACATGGAATCTGTTTTTTGGCTGGGTTTATGGATCACTGTAGAATAGGGCAAATTCTGGGATGGTTCAGCTGTTTTTTTCAATATCCGACCTTTACCTGTACTCCCACCTGTAAATAATAAAAACAGTCAAAATTTTCAAACAAAACATTTCAAAAATAGATAATAGGTTCTTAATCAATGCCTAGGAGTAGTCCTAAAAGAAAGCTAGGACACAAAAATATCTATTATGTTTGTTTACCTTAACACGAACTTCTTGCTTGAAATGCAGAGAAATACACTTTCATGAATTTGATGACTGGTTTGCTAATACGCAGTTTTAAAATCCAGGCTTTTCTTCTCCATTCTAACTATTTTCCCATCTTCATTTCCAGATAAACCCGTAGGTCTGTTTCAAGGGGAAATATGTGGAAACTCAACCCTTTGTTAGCATCTTTTTTGGCCCAAAACTTGCACTGAGGAACACAACAGTAGTGATTGGTGGTCATGATTGAATGTATCTGATATAATTTACACTTATTTATTCCCCAACACGCTTCAAAAATTTAAAAACACTTCAAAAATATTCACAAAAACACAATGGTAAACAATACAATAACAAACGACAATGTAGGTACTACAAACTAGTTCCATAATTTGCCGCCAGATAGAGTATCGCTTATCTTCAAATCCCAATAGTCACTTGGTGGTGAATTGATGAATGGCTGGCAATCAATATATGTGATGTCGTGTGGTTTGTTCCTTGTTACGTCTTTCATAAGCCCATTCCACCCACCAATGCCCAAGAAATCCATATGTGTTCCGTATAGCCACAACAAGTGTGGTGCAGAGGGGATGACTACGCTTTTGTGCCTGAAATTCGGAGTTAGAGGATTGATTTCAACGGCAGCTAAGCCTGGCCCTGTCTTTTCAAACACTTTTACCGAAACAGTTCAGACACGTCCAATAGTTTCTGCTGAAGGTATATCCTTTAACCGATCGATGTGGGGAACCGGAAAAACAGCCGACTTTGGAGTGACAAAAATGATGCCACCCATAGAATGGAATGTGTTGTGCCCGTCAATAGTTGGGATGTTCAAGTCAGCGCTATCGTAGACCAATTGAGAGAGTTCTTGTTTACTAAGAGTTAGAGACGGTTGCAACATAGAAGACATTTCAAAACGTACACCTTCTGTGTATGATGAACAAAATCCAAATGAACTCAGCACATCGATTAACCTTCGGGAACCATACTTATTGTACAAAAATGTTGCAACGCCCACTTGCAGAGGAGATATATATGACTTTGGCCTTATGGCTGTGTGTAAACAATCGGCTATCGCAAGAGATTTCTTCTTCCCTCCTTCAAAATTTCCACATTTTTACATTATTACAGCATCTGTAAAGACTCGAAGAGATTCTGGGATTAGATCGCCAACATTATCTACAAAGGTATCTGGTGGAGGGTATATTGTGTCAAATTGTACATTTGAGGGCGTGCATCTTCAACAATAATACCCAGCTGCTGTTTTAACAAT